GCCAGCCTCTCTGGGAAGCGGGAGTGGGTTAAAGGTACAAAGAGTCACAATTTTCTCTGCTGACAGTTTCCTCGGAGAAACTACGTTTTTGTGATCTTTTTCATCTTTTCCTGTTTTTTAGGCTCATACTCTTGAGCACGAAAAGCTGCATTGTGTGTGGTGGAGTAGTTGTCTTCAGTGTAATTTTAAGCTTGTCAGAGCCCTTTTACATAAGATTAACTATGCTGGGTCAAGCAAAATGGGTCAGCATTGAATGAGCTAACAATATTTCCTATTTGCAGTGGTCATCAGTAGGTTTCAAAGTTGCCCCCAAAGCAGAGCTCAGCTATTTTAGCAGCATTATTTCTGTTTGTTTACAGACATGAGAAGATGATTGCAGTGAGTCATAATAGGATGACTTTGTTGTAAGGTGTAAAACTGTGATTTAAAAAGGGGAGGGGGGAAATGCAAGATCCCAAAGTGCGTGCTGCAGAACATGATAATGAATCAGCAGAGAGCTGAAATTTGCACTGGGCCCCAGCGTTTGATACGTGTTCTTCTGGAGTCCTGAGTATCTCCGGTGCTAAATTAGCACACACGTTTGCTTCCAAAGAAAAATGAAATAATAAAAGACACTGTCTAACCAAGTAATTATTTATTGTTGTTCTTGCAGAGCAATAATTCAGAACTGAATCCAGATACATTTACTGCATTCAGCATAAGCTCAGTGGAGCAGCTAACAGAGGACACCTACCAGTACAGATTTGAATTACCGGGAAATAGCAGTCTGCAATTGGGTTTAGGACAACATATCGTGTTAAGGTATTGTTCTCTGTGCTGGTTAAACAGTCTGCATTATGGAACTCAATACGTAGGTTTTTGTCAATACACAAAGGCTTCATATCAGGCAAATCATAATTTCTATACCTCCACAATGGCATAAATGAAAGAACTTGTCAGCTCGTTAGCTCTACTAATTTTATGGTAAAAGCCGTTCCAAAGCTGTATTTTTCTTCAGCGTTATCCTTGCGTCGGTGGGTCAGAAAGAACTAGGTGCGATTAAGAAAATCCATTTGCAGAAAGAAAGAGTCAAAGAATAGATGTCACAACAGATGATTTACTCCAGCTTGTTGGGATGAAGACAGTGAGCTGTGCTTACCCTACAGCTTGCTGTTTTAGGCTGTGTATCTTGGGGTAACTCAGCACCCAGGGTATAATCCCCAGTGTCCAGGCATTTCCTGACTGATTTCTAACAAAACAACCCTCCTGCGCAGTTTATTGCTTGCCAGAAAGGAGCCACTTGGGAAAAGTTTCTGTCTCTCTAAGCCATCTGTGGTGATCATTGCCAGATAGAAAAAGTCATGCTATGATGCCATCGATCTGTATCTGTTGGCGTTATTTGTACGTTAACAGCTGATGTGCACAGCTGGTTGGCTGCTGAAAGTACACGCTTCTTCCTTCAGCCGTCTCTCCTAATGCAGCAGAGGAAGAGGTTCGGTCACTTCAATCCATTCCTGGAGTCAGGAGCAGAGCAGGGTGGATGTATTCTATGGAAAGGGAAGACTTACGTGAAAATACAGTGTGATCTCAGGTCAAGGCTGTGCCCTGGCTTTCATTATTTAATTACCAGATGCTGTCCAAACACAAAAAGGAAAGTAGACCCCGGCGCAAAAGGGATAGCAAACTTACCATGAAAGCGTTTTCTCTTCCTTTCGCCACTCTTATGTGTTTGGCTGTTTCTCACAAAATGGCTCAAATGTCCTTTCAGTGTCCGAGGACTGAATATGTGGTACAGCTGGGGCCACCAGCGCGTAAACAAAAGTTGCATTTAGCTGTTATGTTCCCCCTGGAGTTTTACCTCTGGAAGGGAAATGTTTTGCATCTGTTCACAGGCTGAGCCCCTGGGAAGAAGACCTGCTACCTCCCTCGTCGCCCCAGAGAACTGCAGAAGTTTGGTAATACCAGTCAATGACCCGAGTCACAGTGGGTTCCTGTATTTCTCTCCTCAGAGGGGTGGTGAATGGTTTGGAGGTCCAGCGAGCCTATACTCCAATTAGCCCAGGGCATGCAGAAGGTTATTTTGAAGTTCTGGTGAAAGTAAGTAAGCCTGTACGATATGGATTAGAGTCGAAGGTGCCAGGGACTGTGTTTTCTTTAGGAACCAAGCACGCTGTCAGCACTTCAAGTGAGACTTTCTCAAATCCCTCATGGGCTGTTTCTGTGTTGTTCTGAAGCAGTTGTGCTTTGCTGATAAAAATTGCAGTTTTTCCCACAGAACTGAAAGCAGAGGAAGGTGACACACAAACAAGTGCTTTGCAGCATAAGCCCTGGGAGAGCCTCTTGGGAGCCCTGCGGTCACCAGTGTGGAAAGAGTCCATTTTACTTCCCCAATTTCATTTTACCTTTTCAATCTGTCTTTGAAATTGCACCCAGTTGTCAGCCCAGTTGAATGACTGATTTTGGGAAGTCTTTGCCCAGCCCTTGTTCTCCCCTCTGTGTTTTGCTTTAAAAACACTCCTCAGAAAAATATTTCATTTTGGTGAAAAATGCAGACGGTAGGCAGTTGTTTCTGGTTTGCAGGCAGGGCTCTGAAGCTGCCTGCAGTCTGAGAGGGTCCCTGTGGTCCACAGGCACAGGCTGCACCTATCGAGGTGGGTGGAGTGGCATAGCCCCATTTTAGAAGAGTGTCCTGGCCCTTCTGGGCCACCACAAAATGCCAGTAGAGTTCAAAAGAGTTTTCTAGGAGAACTAGGCTGAAAATTTGTCTGAATAAAGTCTGCAGGGCCCTCATAATGATTATTTTGTGTGGAGAATCATAGAGTCACAGAATGGTTTGGGTTGGAAGGGACCTCAAAGATCATCTAGTTCCAACCCCTCTGCCATGGGCAGGGACACCTTCGACTACACCAGGTTTCCCAAAGCCTCATCCACCCTGGCCTTGAACACTTCCAGGGATGGGGCAGCCACAACTCCTCTGGGCAACCTCTTCCAGTGCCTCACCACCCTCAGAGGGAAGAATTTCTTCCTTCCATCTAATCTAAATCTCTCCTCTTTCAGTTTAAATCCATTACCCCTTGTCCTATCACTACATCCCAAACACCAAATTGAAGGAAATTTTTCTGATCCTGCATTTGTATGTCACTAGCGCTTCCTCACAGCAGGCACAGACTTCAGTGGAAGTGCGAGGTGTCTCAGGTGACTTGCAGAGAATGGCCACTTGTCCTCTGCCTGTCTTCCAGGATTTCACGTTTTGGGGGTTTGTTCTGCGTTGTACGTTCGAGCACAAACCCTGTTCTTTAGAGAAGGATACAGCTTCTATAGGATGCCTGTGGGAGGGTCGTTTCACCATTCTCGTGGCAATTGGCAGGGGAGAGAAACGTTGCATTTGAGTTGCATTAATAGGATACGTTCCCAGGATGACTGTGAAATTTCATGTATACTTGCTTATTACTCACAGGTTTTGCATTTCAGTAATAATAGTAATGATTGTAATGATACCTTTCCTTTATATGGAACCTTTCATCCCAAAGGGAGCTGGAGTTATTCTCTGGCAGTGACAAAAGAGCTTGGTAACACCCAGTGTAAAGCAGCCACTTTTGTAACTCCCTCTGTAGGTCGTGGTGTATTTCACACTATTCAGGCAATTTTGGAAAGTGCTATATTATTATTATTATTATTACTATTACTGTGCAATCCAAGCGCTGTTCGAACCCTTCTGTCTCCTGTTATTACAGCGCTGCATTTGTGATACTACAGTTAAGAGTGAGGGAGTTGCCATTTGCAGAGCGTAACCCTCTTTTTGAGTGATTTTATAATGTTAGGGTTTCTCTCCATGTAAAACTGGGTGTAGAAGTTTTCCCCCAGGAGATAATTATTTTTTTTCTTTTTATTTAGAAAAATTCATTTTTAAACCCACTCAATCACTTCTCACTTCAATTTTTTGAAATAATTTTGGTGAAAGAAGGATTGTTTTAGTTTCCATTACCCTGGTCCACTGGGATTAGGCAGTAAGCGGGGCTGACTTCTCTGCTCTTGCATTGGGTTTCCATCTGCATTCGAAGAAGGAAGGTATAAAATACTGCTCCTTTGATGCGACTGCACGCTCTTTGCAGGAGACTTAGCACCTGCCCAGACCTCTCTGAACATAAAATGCTTCTGACTTAACTCAGAGCTTGGATGTATGTTAAGCATTTACCTTTTGAATGTAACAGCTGGTGCTAATGGTTCTTGATACTTCAGGTATCTTGTTTAAGTGAGGTTGTTAGGAGGGGAGGAGCTTTATGTTCTTTATTAGCTAACACTGCTTGCAAGCACAAGCACACGCTCACTCGATTTTTCTTAGCTTCTTTGTGGTTCACCAGTTTTGTTTGCCTGCAGTGCAGCTTGGTGGCCAGCCAAGGCACTGGGGTGTGGAGCTGGGCTTCTGTCCAATGCACGTGCAGAAAATACCCCAAAACACGCTTCTTTTATGTGGGCTGGAGTCTTCCAAGGCTTCTGTCACATCCCATCTTTTGACCTCTGGTTGTGTTGCTCCTCCTCAGGTTTATCAGTGGCATCGCCTCTTGCGAGACCAGTTGTCTGCCGCAGCTGTTGGCCTTATCTGCTCTGGCTATTTGGACCAGCCCTTGTTCTCTGGCCAGATCCCATAGACTGAGGCTGTTCTTCTGTGCATGTTTGTTCTCATGAACCGTAAAGTTATCGTACGTATAGGGCATAGCAACAAGACTGCTTGGATGAGCCCTTCGTTTTCCAGCCTCTCCTTGCTTCTCTGTTTCCAGCGAGCACTGACCCTTCCCCACCAGTCATGAATGAGGTCATTCCTGCAGGCCAAAGCCTAGATAATATTGTTTGTGTCTGGTGGAAAATAAGACAGTTTTTTGCTAACGTTTTTCTTCCATGAGGCCCACATTAACATATTTTTTTGAAAATGTGAAGGCATCCCTTAGCATCCAGATGATCTGTTCTGAAAACAAAGAGTTTTATAAATGAGAAACCTGACTTTGGGTCACTAATTGTATCAACACAGCATCTGAGAGACTGAAATAAAGCAAGAGTTATGCAGTGTTTATATAACTATCAGTACCCAGAGGGCATTTTCAAACCCCATATTCTGAGATTTGGAGAACACTTGAAGGCTTGGACTGTGCTTTGCATTGAAGACACTCTTCTGTGTGTGCTTGGTAAGCAAGAACTCTGATAAGCTTTTTCCAGTTTTGGAAATTCAGACTGCATGAGAGTGGGTTGTGTTTACATTATAGTCAAGCTGGAATGTATCCAATATGATTTAATTTAAATGTCTTTGTTTTGGGTATAACTTTGAGTTATTTTTCAAATAGAAGGGTCTTTATTTCTTTTTAAACACATGAAATGTTTTTTTTTTTTGTCCCCTTCTTGTTTAAATGTAGATAACTTTATATTTGACTTAAAGCTGGGAAACTTTCCAACAGAGTATAATTGTTCTTTTCTTTTGTGCAATGTTTTTTATTAGTGCTATGAAGCTGGGCTAATGTCACAATACATAAAAACATGGAAAAAAGGAGACATGGTCTTTTGGCGTGGGCCGTTTGGAGGGTTCCCATATCAACCTAATAAGGTCAGTTGCCTAAGAGACAGGGGATGTGTCAGCTTGTGGCAGCTAGCTTTGTTTAATACTCCAAAGGGAAGACATCAGTTTGATTACTGTTTTCATGATTATTTTAGGGACTTCCTGGGTTACTAAACAGTGCTACAGCATTAGCAGTCAACTGGAGAAAGTACACCTTATTGAACTGCAGGATATTTAAGAAGGAAGAGGAGAGGGAGGTGAATGGGAGACTGGAAAATATTAGCAAAGCTCTCTGTTTATCACTTGCATTAGAAGTTCCTGATGGGTTTGACAAAGGAGCTTATTTTGCACGAGCAATGAGTGTGGATCAGTTTTTGCCTTCTTTGAACCACATTGCTGTTTCGTGACTGAGCACGAGCGAAGGGGGGGTGTTGATCTTTTTCTCTTTTGGGTATTCCCTGAACTGTAGCAGCTCCACTGGGGTGTCACGTCACCCAGCCACTCCGCAAGTGTTGATCCCACCTGCTGATACCAGGCTCGATGCAAAGAAAGGCAGATCCAGTTTCAGGGGAAGGCTTCTCACACGTACTAATTTGATTACTTAATTCTGACCTTTCAAATGAGGAGTAAAATTGAAACACTGGTCATTAAGATCCCAAAGCCTTGGTTTTTCTTCTTCAATTTTTTTTTTTCCACTCGACAGAAATAAAATCCCAGTGGCCTAGCTCCATGCAGAATGATTGTATTCTGCTTCCTGAAGTACTCTCCCTGCTGTTTTAGGCTACTGTTGCCTTCTTTTCTTAAAAGCTTCCAGATAATAATTTGGGACAGAACATGGCAGTCATACCTAGAAGTAGCTGCGTTCAGGGGCTGTCTGGGTGATCTGTGTACATGCAGTTTGCAAAGCACCTGAGCAATCTTTAAAACAACTTGCTGTAGAAGAACTGTTTATTATTTAGGAGTTATGACATAGATCCCAAATATTAGTTTCATAGTAAAATTTTCTTTTATCTCTATTTGCTACCGGTAGAATAAGACTCAGATTCAGGCAGATCAGATCCATTCACAATAAACTGCCCTGGCAAAACAGAGCACAAGCAGCCTGTGAGGACTTAATAGGGGCTTAAGTCCCAGTTCTGGCATTGGTGCATGGGCTGGCAGCTGGGGAGAGTGCTGGGAACATTCTGTCCTCCTACACACAGCACCTTACTGCCTGAACATCCCCATGGTGAGTAGAGTGAATGTCCCCCCTTGCAGGTGGGAAGCACCATGTGCTGCTGGTAGCTCTTTGAGAAAAGTGAGATAACGCACCGGGAAGGTACGTGCATCAGGATGGAGCAGAAACCATTTCCTCCAGAGACCGTTCAAGATTGTACTTTGCAGCACCCACGATAAACACAGGGATCGTTTCCAGTGGGAAAACACGACACAGTGGGTCAGCAAAGTGTACTGCAGAATTGAAACTGAAATATAAGTTAACTGAAATCAAGGCTAGAGTTAGGATAAATTATTATATTTAGGTAAAATCCAGTTTCATTAGATTTTATATGTAAACCCTTTGCAGGGATATATAATGCTTTGCAGAAAAACACGTTCTGAGATTTGAATTTACCAGTTCATGACCTTCTGACACGTTCTCTCTCAAGGGGCCCTTTACCAGTGTGGCAGCAAGGAGGAGCTGACCATGAGCACATCCATTTCCAGTCACCACAGCTCATTCAAAATTCTCTCTTTTGTTTTTTAGCATGGAGAACTCCTCATGCTGGCATCTGGTACCGGCCTCACACCAATGCTTCCCATCCTTCAGTCCATAACAGATGACGAAGAGGATGAAACCTTTGTAACTCTTGTTGGCTGCTTCCCTACTTTTGACAAAATTTATTTGAAACCTTTTCTCCAGGATCTGGCTCGATACTGGAACGTCAGAATATTTTACGTCCTAAGCCAGGTAAATAAATGGATGTGAAGCACGTTGGTATAAGGGTTCTGTGTGCTGGACGAGCCTCTGCCTCCTCTGCTTTTCTATGAGCGTGATCTTAATTCTTTCCAAGTCATTGAGGCTATTTTGTGATCCAGTAGCTGCTATTCTTAAATCTGCTACATATTCTCACACTGCTACCAGTCTGGAGAATTTCAATTCCGGGGAAGCAGCCGTTGTGGCTTGTTCCTCTTTACCTGCTCGGTAGCTGTTCTGTTGGGATGGACCCACGGATTCATAATCACTGTTGATTATTCTCCCCCGACTCCAAATGGTTGTTGCTTCACCTAAACATTTGTGCAAAGAAAACTTGATTCTGAGAGACTCGCAGCAACTAAACTATTTCTTCTTTCCTAATATCAGTGCCTTAATCTGTCCTTATCTTCAGGACAGGTATCCCTATCGTTGTCTGTCCCTGTCATTCATTGCTCTTGGCTGGAACTCTCTTCTTCTAGTATGTTAGGACCAACTTCCCAGCAATTATTTTTCCCAGCTGACCCATTTTTAAACTTCTAAAAGTTGTTTCCCCATCTGTAAAATTATTTTTTCTGCCAAATCCATGGGATGAGGGCATACCTCTCAGTGGTCGTACATTTTGAGCAGTCTCTTTCATTTCCATTTGGTCCCAAAGTTGCCTGTGTTCTGCACAGATTTGGTAGTTGAAAATTATTTCCCTCAGAAATGAGGATTCATTGCAGGGAGGATATAGAAAGAATTATTTATGTTAAGGGAATGAATCCCATTGCATTTTTAGTTTCTCAGATGAATCATTTTTTGTATCTCTGTGGTCGATCTGCCTCCTACGTTATGTTCTACATACGGCCTCGGCAATTTCAGGCTGGGAATAGAGAAAAGTGCTTGTGACTTAGGCCCCCCCTCAGCTGCCCTGTAGGAGCGTAACTGGTAATTGTCTCTGGTGACACAGCTTAAATACACTTTTCAGGACAGTGCTGTCTCAAGAGCCTGAGGAGGTCTTGGAATTCAATAAGTGAAGGGCAAGAAACCCTCCTGACCCCTGTCAACACTGTCTGCCCTGCATGTACATCTCTCCCTTTCTTCTCTCCTCTTAGCACGTTTGTTGTCCAGCACTTACTTGTGCATCCTCCCTTTTAGGATTAAATATCTGTCTGTCTCAGTATTTCAGCCTGCTGTCTGTCACCATCTGAGCACCTTCTGCTTCCAGTTAATAGCAGTAGGAGAGTCCCTGCTGGATCTAATGCCGTGGGATCTAACATTTCTCATGGGATCAGAGCTGTGTTTGGAGCAGGGCTGGCTTCTTTTGAGTTTGATTGAGGGACACGAGACTGAAAGAAACTTGGGAATGGGAGAGGCAATAGAGAGGAATAGACTTTGGACTTGGGAATAGAAAAGGCGTTTTGGGAAGTGTTCTCAAAGAAGGTTCTGCAGCATTTATTAGTGATAGTTACACTCTGGTTTTGTTCAGTCCCCTCTGAGCAACTGGGTCCCGTGGCAGGGAGAGATTTGATCTGGGCTTTGGAAGAGGAACGCAGCTCTCAGGAAGAGTCTCTTCTACTCAGGTGGAGTCACAAGGGTGAAAAATGTCCTGTGCGGTACTCTGAGGGGAGGAGGGAGGTTAGGTGTTAAGCAATCAATTGTTCTGTGTAACGTGACACACTGCAAACTTTTTGCCTTTTCAGGAAACTTCACTGGAAAAACTTCCTTGGAGCTATCAGGAAAACACATACACCGGTCGTCTAAATGAAGACTTGATGAAGACGATAATAAATTCGTGTCGAAGAAAGCCGTTTGTATTAATCTGTGGCTCTTCTGCATTCAATGAAGATATGAGTAAATATTTGAAAGCTGCAGGAATTGAAGAAAGTTCCTGTTTTGTCTTTTAGCAGGGTATTCCTGACCTGAGGAACCTTGGACGTCCTTCTTTCTCTGCAGACATTGCTCAAAATCGGTCCTCTCGAGTTCTTGTGTGTATGCTTTCATAGGCCTTTGGATCAAATATTTGTCTCCAGTATGATTCTCGCTCTTGAGAGTGTTTTAAGGATCGGCTGCCACTCCAGAGTGGCTGTTACGATCACCCACACATGGGGCAACAGCGCATTAATGTTCCTGGAAGTCCTCACATGCAATTTTGAGAGAGATCTCCTATGGGTACTGAAAAGCATCCAAGTACAGAGCTCTGCTGTAGTACGAAGACCAGTGACTCGCTTTGCAATCTGAGTTAGTCCGCAGTGGTATTGTGCCCTGTTAGATGTCCAGGGAAGGGATTTAATTGTCAGGGAGACGACTGCTTGGCCAAGGGAACAGCAGAGCACTGGCCCGGCACTCTAGAGTCCATGGGGTTCATTTTGGTTGTGTCATTATCTTGCTGGGTGATGCCAGGCAAGTCACTTCAACCTCTCCGTGCCTCAGTTTCCCTGTTCTGCACTAATACAGAGGAGGAGGAACCCATCTCCTCTGAAAAGAGCCTTTTCAGCCACCTATGGAATAGGCTGTACATGGGGATGGAATTACATGTGATGCCCAGTGAGGACTTGGGCAGACTGGCCTCCTGCCCTAGCACAGCCTGCATTGGCTACCCTGATCCTTAACCCTTGTAATGCTGCCTGGGGAGAGAAAGAGCATGTCCTAAAACCCCATGTGGGAGAGCACCTGGGCTGTAGCTGCTGTCTGTCAGGGAGGGTGGCTGGTTGGTTTCCACATCCCCTAAGTGGTGTAACATGGCCCTGGTTTGTTCAGTTGAACCTCTTTTCAAATAAACAGCTGTTTCCTTTTGTCACAGGACTCTCGCAGGGGTGCGAGGGGTGCTCTAAGTGTACAAGAACGCCGCCTGAGGAGTGAAAGCTCCACGGGGCTCCCCTGTCCCGGTGGGGCAGGGGGCAGAGCCAGGGGCCTGCCCTGGGGGATGGCAGCCCCGTAGCTGCCCTGGCAGAGCACCCAACCTGGGTGCCCCGGCCCCTTCCTCCTCTTTCAGCCCAAGATGATGCTGCCTTTCCTGTGAGATACCCGCTGTCCCCTCTTTTACCTCTTTAGACCACTGTGTTTGCTTAATTACACCTGGAAATACAGGCTTTCTGCACACCTTTGTGTTTTTCCGTTCATTCCCATTCTATCCTGTGTTGGGGTTTCCCGGGGTTTCCGAGGCTGTGGCGGATGATGTTATGTTCTCATTTCTGTCTCGTTTTTCACCTCTGTCAAACAGTACACCTTACAAAAAGGAGATGTAGTTTAAGAGTTACTCAAAACAAGCGATGTGCACTCAAATGATGGCTCTGATTCACCTGTTGGGAGGAAGCGTAGGTTCCTCTTGCATCGGTGAGGTTTGTCTCCAGTTACCAAACGCCTGGAATTAATCCAGTGTAGCTGCAGCTTTTACATTAACTTCATTGGAGCAAGGGCTGACAAGAAAAGCCGCCTTTGTAACCCAAAATGGAGTTCTGGCTTTTAACACAGAGATATCCAGGGAAGTTGTCTATGGTCAGCCCAAGGCAAGCTCTCAGCTCCCATCCATCCCATTGGATGAGGCTTTGGGCAACCTGGTGTAGTGCAGGGTGTCCCTGCCCATGGCAGGGGGGTTGGAACTAGATGATCTTTGAGGTCCCTTCCAACCCAAACCATTCCATGATTCTATGATCCAAACCGTGTTATAGCTGCTGTAAGCCACTGGTTTAGTGTAGGTGCTTCTGCACAGCGTGGGGCTGGTAAAACAAGGAGTTGCTTTCTCTGGTTGCTCTCCCTACTTTGGCCGTATCTGGGAACGCAGAGAAAACATTTTCCTCAGGTATTACATATTATTCTGCAAACCTTGCTTGTATGCCTCTTGCTTTAAATATAATACCTTTCTAAGGTTTTGCTAAAAATCCACCCAGCCTTTTTGCAAAAAGCTTGAAGTAAAACTTCACGCTGGCTTGGGAAAAGCAACGACTTTCCGTGTGCAAGCTGGGGCTGTTCCTTTAAACGCAACCCCAATATGTCTGGGTATTTCAGCACATATGGGCCACGACGCTTAAACCCTCCCCAGCTGGTCGGGCCGTTCTGCCGCGTGCCTCCCGTCTTTGTTCCTGGCTAACGGGGAGGGTGGTGAGAGACGGAGCAAGCTGTGAGTGCCGCGGGTTGCGATCCCGCGAAGGCGGGCCGCAGGCAGAGCGGGAGGAGGCGACGCGTGCCGAGCCGTGCGCCGGAGGGGACAGGGGGGTCTTTGCGAGACGTTCTCTGCGGGGGAGGCGATGTCCTTGGAAGTAGGAACTCCAAGGGGCCTTTAAACCACCCGTGGGTACTTTGTTCTCCATTTTCTGCCCTGCTCTCCCTTTCCCCTCCAGCCTTTTCTCGTTTCTCAGGCTGGCTTTCGCACCAGTCCTCTCTTCCCAACGCGTCTGCCATGGGGACAAGTCCCTTCCGGAGGCTTGCGTGACGCTCCTGCAAAGGCAGGGGTGTGGGATGGAAAGGCTTTCGGGCAGGATTTTCCCTACTGAGGGAAGATGAGAGGTTTCCTTCCCTTTGGAGGCCTGGGAACTGCCCCGCGGTGGCAGTTTTACAGGGAAATGGTGGCGATGACGGTGATTATCGGGGGAGCTGGAGGTGTGTGAGCTCCCTGCAGGGGTGGGTGGCTGCTGCCAGGCCAGGGCTGGGGCTCACACCCTGCCTCTCTGCCGGGACAGGGGGGTGCTGGTGGGAGGCACCGGAGCTCTGGCTGCCCCCCAGGAAGCCCCCGCTGCCCATGCAGCGCTGTGCTGGGGAGAGGGACTTCGCTTCGCTTCCTTTCTTCTTCCTCGTGTGCAGCTTAAATACCTTCTTAATTTCATCTCATTATTTCCTGCCTAAATAATTCCCGTTTCTCCCGGGGACCGTATTTAAACCTTTGATCTTCTCTGAAGTCTCGCAGTCCTGATCACGTCCTTTCTATTTAAATGAATCAAATGCCTTTTTGACTCATGATTTATAAATTCACCCACGGAGGAACAGAGACAGCCCCGATACGACACACCTCCAAAACACCTGAGACAGAGCACCCTGAGCTGATCCAGAACACCTCTGGCCAGACCTCCATGAGGAAGGACCTGCCTGGCTCCTCTGCCCTCCCGCCTGGCTCTGCCAGCTGACAAGCAGCGTTGCCTGGGCCGGAGAATGGCCATCCCCAGGTCAGGAGAAGGGTGAATGTTCCGGCAGTTGATGGATGCCATCTCCTGGGAAGGGGGGCACAGCTGCTGTGCTGCACAGCCCTGGCCCCACGTCTCCCGGGGATATCACCGATGCAGAGCGCAGCTGGAGGGATGGAGAAGAGCAGTGACGTAGGTAACCAGTGTCCCGGACACTGGCTCTGTGCTGGGAGATGCCTTGGTGCTGAGGTTGGCAGTGGAAGGGCTGGAGGATGGTGGCTGTTGCTGGACATGGATGCGGTGAGGAGGAACGTGTTGCTCCATCATGCAGCGATGGAGAAGCCAGGAAGCACGTCCCCGAGTCCAGGAGATCATGGCCAGGGCTGGAGTTATGGAAATATCCAGGAGACCTCCTTCCCCTGCACCACGGGTCATGGTGCCAGAGCTCTCCTGCATCTTTGCTGTGGGCTCTGAGCCCGCATGTGTTGTACTAGGCATGAGGACAGACCTCCTCTCCAAGACTATCAGGGAAGCAGCTAATTAAGCTCTGCAGCGTGCCTGCAAGGTCAGGAGGAGATGTGCCAGCATCGCAGCCATCTCCCAGACCCTGCACCAGAGCGGGAGCTTTGCGCTGCACCCTGGGTCAGCGAGGGCTGCCTTGCATCTCCTCGTTCAGACGTGCACTTGCTCATAGTGCTCGTGGGGCGACACAGCATCCGACACCCGGGATGTGCCCTGCCTTCGCTGGGCTTAGGAGGGAGGGCTCCTGTTGGGATGCCCTGATGCTCCCACCAGTCCTTGGCATGGCTCCAGCAAGGCCGGGCAGCAGGGAGAGAGCCTGTCCAAATATTATTGTTGTTATTATTACCCATAAATATATGCAGGCATTTAACGACCTTGGCATGGAGCATTTCCTGGGGGTTAATGACCAGTTGGCGTTAATGGTCCTTAGCTGCACCTCGGGCCATCAGCTCCTCCCAGCCCATCATTAACCCACAGGAAATGTCTCAGGCATCGATTCTCATTGCTTAATTAATAAATACAACTTGTCTCCTTGCCTGAGATTTAGAGATACCCCTTGCTTCTTTCCCTGCTGCTTTGAAGGTGACTTTTCTAGCAGAGGTCCCCCACGCCAGGAAGCCCTTGTGGGTTTTTGTTTCCTGGAATTCGTCTGGGTAGGGGTTACGGCAGCAGGACAGTCTTTCCTCTTCTGGGTGGGAGGGAAGGAACTGAACTGCTGGTGGGTTTGGGGTTCCTCCAGCTAACGGGGCACAGCGTGAGGAGCACATCTTTCCCACCCAACGCAAGGGCTTGATTACCGTCAGCCGATTGCATCCGAGAGCCTGGGAGTGAAGGAGCGTGAGCTGGCGTGGAAGAATATGGTCATTCTCCAAGGCCTTAGCAGGTTCTGTAATAATCAACGGGGTTCACCGTGAGTCACAATTCGTCTCTAATCTTCCCTGGGGGAGGTGGGATTTTCTGTCTTTAGTGCTCGCAGCTGCCGCTTTCCTGGGCTGAGCATCCCGCTGAGCCTGGGCACGCGCTGCAGGGATGCTGACCTGGCAGCCGACGCGGAGGCACGGCTGCGTTTAAATCCCGTTCCCTGTTTCTCTGGCCTTTACCACCAGTTGGCTTTGTGCAGTGGGTGCCGCAGTATAAATCACATTCGTTCCTGAGGTGCTTTTCCGCGATAAGTCTGAAATTCCCATTTTGGTTCACTGGCTTGCCTGGTGAACTAAATTATTTTCATGGCCCCTTAAGGGCATATTGTCAGCCCAGACTTACTGCCG